ACTTGGAAGCGTTCAGTTTCATTCTATATTTGCGTAAGATGCTGAATGTCTTTTCTAGATCGGCTATATGACTCTGTTCTTGTTTGGACTTGACCACCATATCGTCGATGTATACTTCCATAGTGTGGCCGAGTTGCTCTTTGAACATGGCGGTGACCAATCTTTGGTAGGTTGCCCCTGCATTCTTCAGCCCAAAGGGCATAACTTTGTAGCAATAGATTCCTCTTGGGGTGAGGAAGACAGTCTTATCCTGGTCATCTGGATGCATGGCGATTTGATGGTAGCCTCTGTAAGCATCGAGGAAGCTCATGCGTTGGTGGCGTGCCATCGCATCGACAAGCTGGTCGATTCTGGGTAGAGAAAAATAGTCTTTGGGGCAAGCTTTGTTCAGATCCGTCAAGTCGACGCACACTCGCCAAGTCTTATTTTTCTTCTTCACCACCACTGTATTGGAGAGCCACGTAGGGTAAGTGACTTCTCTAATTGCCCGGCGTCAAGCAGTCTGTCTACCTCCTCAACAACGGCGGCAGTGTGCTCCGTGGCTGACCGTCGGCCTTTCTGAATGATCGACTTACATTTCGGATCGACATTCAAATGGTGCTGTGAAACTGACGGATCTATTCCCGGCATTTCATACGGAGTCCACGCAAAGACGTCAAGGTTGTTATGCAAGAAAGAGATCAGCTGCTACCTGTCGGCCTGATTCAGAGAGGCGCCGATCATGAAGAACTTTTCTGGGCTGCCATCAATGTCAACTCGGTCCAAATCTTCCGTGGCCTTCTCATTTGGATACCGCCCAACATCGTCTAGGATCTCCCGATTCGGCACCTTAATGGAGTTTACTTGCAATTCCTTTGGCGTTCGGGCGGCAAAGAGATAACATGTTTGTGCCAATTTCTGGGATCCGCGGATTTGCTCAATGCCGTGTTCTGTTGGGAAACGTATCAGTTGATGATAGGTGCTTGGAACAGCCTGCAAGGTATGCAACCACGATCGCCCCATGATGAGATTGTAGGGCGATGGCAGCCTGGCGACCAAGAATTCCACGTCTACCGTTCTGGAACCTATTCGAACGGGTAAGCTGATTTTTCCCAATGGGTACTCTGGAGTGGCATTGAAGCCGAATAGTAGATAAGGAGACGGAGTCAGGTCTGACTCGTTGAATCCGAGTTTGGTGAAGGTTTTATAATACATAACCTCCGAGGTACTGCCCTGGTCGATAAGAACGCGTTCGACAGTGAACCGGTTTACGCGCAGCTCAACAACTAACGGATCGATGTGGGGGAGTGTTACACCGATCAAGTCAGAATCGTCGAAGGTGATACTTGGCGTTTCTCGGGGCCGCTTTGCTGGCGTGAGTTACTGTTAGGGGCCTGGATGTGATTAGATCGCATGCACGGCCGGGGCCGCTGGAAAGCTGTATATCATGTGAACGGTGTCAAGCGGAGATGCATCCTCCGGACGGGCAGGTGTTTCGACCATACTCCTCCGGACGCATTGGTGAAGACGTTCGTCCTTTGCCAACTCCTCGAGATGATCTGCCCTCAGGGGTCGCTCAGAAACCTTGGGCACCGTTTGTTTGGATTTTGCTATTTCCGAGGCTAGATCGCGACGAAGGCGTTCGTTCTCAGCGATGATGTTGGCCAACCTCTGTTGGGTTTGCCTAGCTTGTGCCATGGTCGCTTGTATTGTCGTTTGCGTTGGGTTTGAAGATGAGCAGAAGTCCGAGGCAAGTCTTGCCACGATGGTTTTTGGTCCAAGCGAGTTTGCTAGAATGAGGTCAACTCTCTATGCGGTCTCGTCAGTGGCTAGCGGAGGATCTTCAGTCACGCCTGCCATGGATATGTTTGAGTATTCCCATAGACGACGCCAATTATGGGGAAGTGGTTTGGAAATACTCTTCGGATCCTGGGAGACGCTAGTGATCCTCAGCTAGTCACCTGAAAAGATACAAGCACTCCGGTCGGGGGTGCCGGAATTAGCACTCCGACGGACAAGTTAGTTCAGACACTCAAGATAGCTTACTTTCTAAGTCTTGTGAAGTGATTCTTACATACCTTTCTATAACCGTTGTTCCTGTATTTATACCTGTTCTTTTTTATCCTCGGGGCCAGGGCCTACTTTTTGATCATTGCCCTTTCTTTCATTCGGAGCTACTGATCTCCGTCTATTCGACTTTACTCACGTATTCGGTGTTCTGGTCACGCAATATGAAGCCAGATAGTATCTAATTTCTAGAGCGCGCATCCTCCGACTCTTCTGTTTATTCGGCTCCCACACCGACCACACACTTCTCTCTCTCTCTCTCTCTCTCTCTCTCTCTCTCTCTCTCCAATTTCTAAGGTTTCTTCAATACTTCTTCTTCTCTCTTATAACTAAAATCAATTGTCGATCCCGACGGGACTTCGGCGAGTTGTCTCAGCCTCCGCCGCCGCGAGCTTCGATGAGTTTCAGAAACACACCTCTCTAATGACGAGTTGTAATCTGCTATCCGATCATTTTTTATCACTCAATCAAAACATCTAGAGAAAGTCCGATGCTCTGAAGCGCAAGATTGAAGCCTTAGACTCTCAGACCAAGGAGTCCCTCTAATTCCTCGAGGAGCGCGAGTTCTCAATCAACGATTCCATCGATCCCGCGAGGTTTTGTATATATGTATATATGTAAGAGCGGTGAAATCAACAAAACTAGTAAGACATACATACATATATGTGTATGTGTGTGTGTGTGTGTGCGCGTTTATATATATATATATATATGTATGTATGTATGTATGTTTGTCTGTATCCATGTATGTGTGTGTGTGTGTGTGTGTTTTTTTTTAAGCAGATAGCATTTTTGTTTTCTCTCTTTTTTTTTTTTTTTTTTTTGGTAGTTGATTGTTGATAGTTGATTATTGTTGATGATGATGATAATGAATGGTATTGACGAAGAAACAGATTTGTAATGGACAAATATTGCAACAGATATGGATAAGGAGAGAGAAAAAAAAGATTTGAACGGATAATGGCTTCATATTTCAACAGATAATAAAAAAAATGAACAGATATGTTGTTGATGATGGTGAAACACATTGCAACAAATAGGGGGAGAGAGAAAAGAAAAATTTGAACAGATAGGAGCTTGGTATTTCGACAGATAAGGAAAAATGAACAGATAAAGGGAAAAATTGAACAGATAAGAAAAAAATTGAACATATAGATTTAAATTTGAACAAAAAGGCAAAATTTTGAACAAATAGAAAAAAAATTTGAACAGATAGTCAACGAAAGTCAACAGATAAAAAAAAAGTCAACAAATAAATTAAGAGATAGAATTGGAAACAAAATGTCTTTCAAAACAAGAAAAATGACTTCTCACCAAAGTATTTCACAAATAGCAGACCTCTTACTAATTAAAAATATACAGTAGACCTAGAAAAAATATAGAGAAAAAATAGTTAAAATTAATACAGAAGACTCGTGTGTCATTAGTTTTATATATTTAAAATTAATTTAAAATATAAAGAGGGCACAATTTTCAAGAATTGAAGGTGACTTATTTATCAGGTAATATTTTGAATAGTAAGTTTATTCATAACAAATAGTAAGTAAATACTAAATAGTAAGTATATTAATAGAAAATGGTAAATTAACATCATTTTTTTTAGAGCAATGTTGGGTGGCCCAAAAGGAGGTTGGCTCAAATATTCCGAATTTCACCTTGCCAGTCGTCTGGGGAGTCGTCCGGTGAGGAGGCTGACAACCGCGGTCAACAAAGGTGATATCCGCAATAAACAAGCTTTCATTCGGTCGTCCGGACGGATGACCGGCCAATACCCATTCGGGCCATTTAAACCGCTCCTTTTCGGGCCACCAACCGTTTTGCTTTTTTTTATATCAAAATTAATCAAAACTACTTCACATTTTGAAAAACTATCTTATTTTTTCTACCTAATTTTACTTTTAATTCATCCAATAATTAACATTTATTTTATCTAAATTTAATGATTTATATTTTTTTTATGTACCATACAAGAAAATCACTTTTCATGTATGGTAAAATTTTCTTAACATTATAGAAAAAAACATGGGAGAGAGCGTCCTTATGAATTTATAAATGCTTGGCCTGTCGTGTTATCAGTTGTCTTATGTAATGACTCATTACAGTGAAAGAAAGCAAGACAAGTCATTATGAATTGTACCCCCTACACCTGTTAAACTAGAATCTTTGAGCCATCTTTAACTCACAGCTTTCCACAGTAACTAAAACCGTGTTAAAATGTGTTTTATATGATAAAAAGTGATTAAAACAAGAATTTAATTGGTGCTGAAATATTTGTTAATTTAGTGAGAGCCAATGAGTAAGTTAAAGTGTGTTTTAAAATGGGCTAAGTTAGAGTGTGAATTATTTAAATGTGTATAAATGTAAAAATATTAGGGAAAATGGGTAAATTTTTTAACAAAGTACATCTCTCTCTCTCTCTCTCAACAGCTCCACTACATCACTCACTACAGATAACAGACAGGTTAAGTTAGTGTCTGATCACTTTGACAGCTTATTCAGCAGCTCCACCACACTACATTCAAGGGCAACTTTTGTTACTAACTGACAAGCTTCTGATTACTAATTTACTACTAACAGATGCTCTCAGCCTAGAATCTTTGAGCTATCTTTAACTCAGCTTCTATGACACTGAAGAAAAAAGAATGGAGTCAGTGGTCCTCATAAAGTAGTGAAGTTTCACTATTATCTTTTTCTACAACTACCATTCACTAAGATAGAATCAAGCAAAGCTGGGGAAGAGGAGAGGAGTAATAATTATTCAATAATTTCGGAATATAAACACGTGGTATTTCATAACATTGTGATTGGTAGAGAATGTGAGTAAGTAGGGTATTGTATTAGGTGATTGGGGAACATGAGAAGATATATTGAATGATAATTAGTTAAGGTGTACAGACACGTGATTCTCCAGAAACATTGAATAATTTCCCAAAGAGGAGTGTGTGGAGGATAAGATGAAGGACGACATGGTGGAAAGGAAGATGAAGATGTTGTTGCCAGACTCCGGAAGCGTTTCTGTAAGCAATGCAGCAGGTTGGAAAACCCTAAAATATTTCTAGTTTGTGTCTTGTCTTTAGATCTCTTAACTGTATCAAGATACAAGGCCGATTCTGGAGACAAGGCGGCAAAGCCATCTCTTTCGACCCTAGATTTAAGCTAAAAATTAGGGCCCCAATTTTTATTTTTTTTTAAAAAAAATCTTATAATATTTTTAGATCTCAATTTAATGAAGGCCTCCCAAATTTTTAACATCAAAACTCACATAACCCAACCCTCAACACCAATCTAAAAAACAAAATTGTTTTTATTAGTGGAATGCCATTATGCCAATTACTTTGATTTCAAATTATCAAAACCTATCTAAACTTAGCACTTCATATTAAACCCAAAAACAACACAATTTTATTAATGAGGGGTCCAAAGTAATTGATTTCACTTTACCAAATTTCTCTTCAACTTTATTCATGATTATGAAATTAAACTTTTTTTAAATCTTAATATTCTCTCTAGATGCCTTTAGAATTTGTATCATTTCAAGTTTTACTTCAATTGTTTGTTAGCTATACTTAAAAACTAAAATCTCTAAAATTGAATTGATTATTATTTGTTGAATAATAGAATGTATTGTTTATTTAATCATACTTCTAAGAAAGTAAAGAAGAATTAATTGAATCACAATTACGAGCTCTTTGTTCAATTTTGTAACTAAAAATGCAATAACCGTAATGTTTAAGTTATAAAATGATATAATTCATTCATTTTTTATTTTTATTTTTAATATTATAGTTCCAGATTTTTGTAGATATAAACAATAATACTAAATTTTATCCTTTAAAATTTTTGTAATAATTTTTTACGTTGATTTTTTTTTTTTTTTTTTTTTTTTTTTTTTCCAGTACAATTATGTAGACATTTTCACTATTTCAGGCCAAGCAAATTTCGGAGTTTAACCCAAAGGATACAAATTAAGCTTTTGGTGTTGTTAAAATTTGGAAATAAAAGAACATTTATTTATCACCACAGCTGGAAAATATGGTAGTAGATGGATGGTACTAGTCTAGTAATCAAGTGCATTTGTTATCCATTCCTTTCAATTTGTTGAATGTGGAATTTCTTCTTCAGAGTTGGCAAAGACTGGTCCCCTCCATGAACACTATATAATTATGATGATTGTTATTTATATATACACATAAATACATTTATGTACCCGTTGATTCTGCAAATTATCACCATATATAATTATAAAACCTGAAGTGCCCATCAATGGTGGGGCTCCCATGTATACGTCTTTCATGAATTATACAAAGACCACCAGATGCTCAGTTTTTCGGAATTACAGCAAGCATCTCTATTCCTATTCACCTATTTCAGTTTGAGCATTGCTATTCATGATAAAAAAAAATTAGATAAATTTTTCAAGTCAAATAATGTGACAATCAATTAGGATATTGAAGTCACTCTCATATCTTTTCTAATGATTAACCAATCATATCACTGACACATTATTAAATCTAAAAATAAATTTTAAAAATGAATTTACATATCATTTTCCATCTGGTTTTAATGCTTAGGGTCTCTAAGAAGAAAGCATGGCAGAGTTGAAAAAAGATGAAGTAGAAAAAGAAAAAGAAAAAAGAAGATGGGTGTTTCAGGAGGAGGGATCGGAGAGAGAGAACGGGAGTTGAAAAAAAGCCTCTTTTTTTTTCTTCTCTCTGAGAAGATGAAGGAGTTGAAAAAAAAAAGAAAAATGATCCATTCCCTCACTCTCTTCTCTCTTCTCTTTTTTGAAAAAGAAAATGGGTCTGCAGAAATTGATGAAGATGATGAAGATGGGTCTGCAGAAATTGATGAAGATGATGAAGATGGGTCTGCAGAAATTGATGAAGATGATGAAGATGGGTCTGCAGAAATTGATGAAGATGATGAAGATGGGTCTGCAGAAATTGATGAAGATGATGAAGATGGGTCTGCAGAAATTGATGAAGATGATGAAGATGGGTCTGCAGAAATTGATGAAGATGATGAAGATGGGTCTGCAGAAATTGATGAAGATGATGAAGATGGGTCTGCAGAAATTGATGAAGATGATGAAGATGGGTCTGCAGAAATTGATGAAGATGATGAAGATGGGTCTGCAGAAATTGATGAAGATGATGAAGATGGGTCTGCAGAAATTGATGAAGATGATGAAGATGGGTCTGCAGAAATTGATGAAGATGATGAAGATGGGTCTGCAGAAATTGATGAAGATGATGAAGATGGGTCTGCAGAAATTGATGAAGATGATGAAGATGGGTCTGCAGAAATTGATGAAGATGATGAAGATGGGTCTGCAGAAATTGATGAAGATGATGAAGATGGGTCTGCAGAAATTGATGAAGATGATGAAGATGGGTCTGCAGAAATTGATGAAGATGATGAAGATGGGTCTGCAGAAATTGATGAAGATGATGAAGATGATGTTGAAGATGATGAAGATGATCCGGATCTGCAGAGGAAAAAGTCTGATCCAAGTCTGCAGATTTTGATAACAGCTTCAAATCTGACAAAACGATTTTTTCTTCAAAATCTGAGTCTTCAAAAAGAAAAAATCTTCAAGCTTCAGATTTTGATAAAAAAAAAAAATCTGATTTTGATAAAAAAAAATCTGAGTCTTCAAAAAGAAATTTTTTTCTTCAAGCTTTAGATCTTTAAATTTTTTTTTTTAAACTGCACTCCGATCGGTGCTCAGCGGCAACGTATCGGTTTAACTCGAGCGGCGGCACTCCGATCAGTGCTCAGCGGCGGCACTGTCGCTAGGTTAGGAAAGAGTCTTCACTTTGTTTTTTTTTTTTTTTTTTTAATTGAAATGGGAGTTGAGCACACGCACACACCAGATAGAAACTCAAAATCGGGCCACTCGAGCCGCAACGTATTCGAGCTACATAGCGGAGCCGTTGTTTTAATTTTACCCTTCAACAACATAAACAAATTGCAACATATAACATATATATAATGGACAGAACACAATAGCAAATTTAAAATATTTGCCATGAATAATTTATTTCATGATAAATACAAATTTTCTACCAACACAATAAAAAAAAAATTCTTTGCATTACCAACACAGCCGCAATTAGGATTGGTACAGAATCGAAATAGAAAATAATTCACAGAAATCGGCAGAACAAAGAATGAGGGAAAAAAAATTAACACAAATCGGATATGCATATTTCAGAGGAAGAAATTTTCCAAACGTTAAAAAAAAAATAATAAAATAAAATAAAAATAAATAAATAAAAATTCCACATGTATCACAATTTCGTGTCTAAACCGAAAGGATAACAACGTGTTTTCCCAAATGTCCAACAAACACGAACATGGAGACAACAAAAAATGGATGATTCAAATTATACTACAGCAGATCAGATTGAAAGAGACGAAATATATGTATATATATATATATATATTTGTGTACTTCACAATCAGCTGTGGCGAGGACGCGATGGTTGCTCTTCGATCAGGGGAGAGCAGCCGATTTGCACTCCAATCGGCCTTCGATGGTTGCTCTTTGATGGTCGATCTGCACTCTGATCGGCCTCATATGTGTGCAGCAACCATGGCTCTTTTTCTTCGGCAAAGGATTCATCGAAATCGCCTCCTTCTTTGTGTAATGGTGCCCTAGCTGAAGAAATGGGTGTGTGCCAGATTTGCTGCTGTGTGTGACAAAAAAGGGAATCAAACTGGGCGGTAGTTTGGTAATTTCAACATTGCTTGAAAGGCTTTAGGCAACGTGTGGTGGGTTTTGGGTGATTCTATTTGCATACCATCAAATGTTTTAGTACACATCATTTTCTCAATACACACCACACACATTTTCAATTTTTTGATTTCTTTTCACTTCACACCATCACTTTTCAAAAAATCCAAAATTACCCCCATCTTCTTCAACTCTACATCCCAACCCTAACCTAACACTAACCCTAACCATCACCGCCGGCTACCACTTCCTCTCTAGCCTCCTACCCTTCTCGTACCACCGAACACTAGCTACCACCCCTCCTTAGCCCATCACTTCCGATAACCCCCTAAAGCTTCATGTTCTTCCGACAAATCTCCATCACCATTGTTGCTCTTCGTCGTTGCCCTCTCTCCCAACTCTGTTGTTCATTATCATCCTCCTCACCACCGCCAACCTTCATCTCTTGATCCCTCAACTACAATCGCCGTCCCCAGCCACCAAAAAATCCGAAATTACCCCCATTTTCTTCATCTCTTGAACCACCCACTTCTATATCGCCATCGCGATTTGTCTTCCCATCCCCTCCATCGCAACCCAACTCTTGTCCACCGCATGGAGAGAAAGAGAGAGAAAGAGAGAGAGAAGTGAAAATCTGAGGGTTTTTAGATCTCAGACGAAGGTGTGAATTGCAACGGCAGCGGCGACGGCAGAGAAGGGAGGCACGAGTTGCAGAGATAGAGGCAACAAAGATGAAGGTTGGAATAAGAAGAGAGAGAGAGAGAGAGAGAGAGAGAGAGAGAGATACGACAGAGGAGATTGAGAGTTGCCGGAGAATGAGGAGTTGGCACGACGGGATTGGGAAAGGTGTCGACGGTGGCTGGTTCATGGTGTGGCCAGAGGGGAGTCTGCTGGTGGATTTGATTTTAGGATTTTTGTCCAAAATGGTAATTTCATTTTTGTCCAAAATGGTAATTAAAAAAAATTGGACAATGATGTGTACTGAGAATAATGATGGTGTGTAAATAGAATTACCTGTGGGTTTTGTCTCATATGGCTGAAATAGACTAATTAGTCCCTATATGGCTAAAATAGCCCCAACAAGGATCCCAAACGGGGGCTTAGCACTTGACACTTATCAAGTTATCTCCCAAAAAATTAACAAAAATGACTAATCTTATTATTTTAATTATTAAATATTAAATATTAAATTAAGACATTTCCTCTTTACTTTGTTTTTACATATTTTTATAATAAACATAAAAAAAAAAAAAACCACTAAATAACCCATACCCAAAAACATGAGTCTATAAAACAGATTTCTATTTCATTTTCCGACGGCTATTGTGAGAGTGATGTTTGCAAGAAGTTGATATTTCTTGACCCAGAATTACTTTTAAAAATAAAATAAAATAAAGCAAGTTGTTGAATGCAAAGGCCATGAATCAAACAAAGCCTTAACTTACCTTACTTTACCCGTTGGGGCCATTACATCCATCATACGCACGGACTCTTCAACACACAAAATTTTCCAAAGCCAACACCAGTAGTTGTTGAATATCTCTCTCCCTTGGAAAATTCCCAGACGGTCATATACTTTTCTTCTTGAAAACAATTGCTCTGCTTTTTTACAAAATTATAATATCATTACATAATTGCAAATGACCTGATCTATATCAACCCACAACATGCCTCTTCTCAGCATGCCGCCTCTTTGTGTTAATTTCATCATCACCATCTTCTTGTTCCTTCTTAGTAGACCAACATCACATGGTGCAAGCGATGAAAATTACACGATTTGCCATGAAAAAAACATACAACTGCGGAGAGCAAATAAAAGAAATTGGATATCCCTTACGGGGAAAAGATCAACCTCTGTTCTGCGACGTTCAAGGTTTTGAGCTTATGTGCCACGGCAATGAATACACAACCATAGTTATTGACGAACAAGCATTTCGTGTTCTTTCTATCAATCAATCTGCTTATAGCATGACAATTGCATGAACCGATCTGTGGGATACTATTTGCCCTGAGGAATTCATTAATACCACTTGAATTGGAATATTTTGGATTACATTGAAAAATCTAGAAATCCCCTAGATGTTGATTTGTGATTATGTATCACTTTTTAAGCAATATATAACAATCCCAATCAAACAATCAAGACAAATCGACACAACGATTTTACGTGGAAAAACCACAATTGGACACCTCCAATTGTGATAAAAAAAACCACGAGCAAAAGCCACAAAACAATCCACTAAAAAGACATAAAGGAATTACACAGGTATACTCTCAATTACCTAGCGAATTCACACCCGAATTGAACCAACCCCTATGTGTCTCTTCCAACCCTGTCTTCACCTCAGAATTGTCTTGACGATGAGCCACTGCAGAATCCACCAAAGCTTCAGGCTCAAATTCTTCAGAATCCACCGAAGAACAACTCTCTCTTTTGTATAGAATGAACAAACGAGCGTTTGATGTATTCTTCTTAACCCATGAGTTGAGTACACTCAATTAAACATCAAAGAAAAACTAGCAAAATATCCCCAGATATAAACCTTAATATCCAAAACGTAGATCTGGAGCAGTAATCCTAGTTTTGGAGTAAAACAACTACTTATAGAAATCCTGGATTTTGAAGCTCGCTCGAGCGAAGCTTCTCTCGCTCGAGCAAGGAACATATCTCGCGTGATTTCCATAAGTGGCTTCGCTCGAGCCATGCATCCTTCGCTCGAGCGAACAAACACCTCTTTCAGGTCTTTATGCAGACGCAGTCCTTCGCTCGAGCGAGCAAGGGCGGACATGCAACTTCGAATGCAATTTTCCATTTTGCTTCGGGGGCGCTGCCCCTCTATCCCACCGTAGCGCTGCCCTGGACCCGCTAAGGGGCGCTGGCCCCTGGACCCCCGCGAGCTGACTGGGCAGCTCGATCCCCGTCATAATCAGCGAAGTGGCAATCTTGAAAGTATTAACATTACAAACTTCTCTGCAAGGCACAATTCAGGTTGGATTCACATCTAAAAACTCATAGCCTCACTGAAATAAAAAGTGCGAAAATAAGTACAACTGAAAGGAGTTTTGTCAGCCGGGATTGCCAAGAATAAAAACCTAACACGGTTCATATCCAATGTTGTAAATCTCACTTTGGCCTATGATTGCCCCCCTATTGTCGAACCTCCTGATCATACAAAACGGAGTCATTTTCAATACCAGGTGTGTTAGGAAAAATATTAATTTTCCACAAGTAAACCAATCAATGGAAATAAAAATTAATATGGAAAAATTAAATTAATAATGACACAAGAATTTTTACGTGATTCTCTTAATGTGAGGTATGTCCACGGGATCAAAATCAAATTTCACTATTAACCAAAAAGTTTTCAAACAATTACAAATGAGACACGAATGGTCTCACAAACCACCCTTAGACAAATTCCAAATAATCACAAAATAATTAAGAGGAAAGTGCTCACCAAATAAATGAACAAAAGTTTTCGATAAAAAGTTATAAAAAAAACAAAAATAATAAACCCGAATTAGCCGAATATGCACACAAAGAATGCTTCAAAGCAGCCAAAAAACCGAAACCATTGAAACTTCCAAGCACCAGAGAAAAAACCCACACCCACCGAATTGAATTTGTAGCAGAGAACAAAAATAATATATATATATATTGTTGATTTTAAGGCTTTTATTAAAATCCTAACTGCTACCAAGCAGATTATTAAATACCCATTCCGCCTCCAAAAGTTAAATATAATATATTTTCAATATATTATAATCAACACCAAACAAAATTAAAATTTTAATAAATTAATTAGGTCTTATACTCCAATAAAGAGACACCCAATGAGGTGGGAGCAGGTGGCCGGAGTAGTAATATTAATTTCTTCGTAAACGAGTCATATGAGTCAATAATTTCGCAAAATTGTAAGAGCAGAATCAAGGTTCTGGTTTTCCAAGAGGCTCTTGATACATTTTGGGTGGATAATACCATTAGGCCATGTTTAATTCACAAGATTAATAGCGAATGTATTAATAATCCTATTAGGTCATGTTTGTTTGGGTAGACATGAGCTTGGGATTGGACTAATAGTCCAATAAAATTATTAATCCGATATTTGGTTAAACAATTGAAGTACGGATTAATTATTTTAAACTTGATTATTAGTTAAGATAGGATACATATCCAACCGATTCGTAGTCTTAGGACTATTAGTCATGGGAATGCTAATCCAGTCCGCCCAAACAAACATGGCCTTAAATTAGTGTGGTATTCACTATTCAATTGGATTAGTGGGATAAATTATCCCCTTGTCCACTATTTGATTTGCATTAGATAAGAAAACATATGAAGGTAAAAGAGTTTTTTTATTTTATTTCCTAACTCAGGATTAACAATCTCACCCCTATCTCATTATTAATAATCCTGCACTAATCCTATCAATCAAACATGTCCTTAGAGTATGTTTGTTTGGATGGACTAGATAAGGGGATTGTAATCCACTGGACTGTTAGTCCTGGGATACATTGTTCCCGGACTATTTAGTTGGACTGGATTTGTATACTATATTTGTTTAATCATGAGATTAGATGTCTGGATTGGACTATTCTATTAAATTTTATATTTGTTTGGAATATTATGAGGAATGATAAATGCTCAAAAGACTATTTTCCCCTTTTGAATTATTTACTAAATAATAGAAATATTAGATCTGAATAATAAATTTTATTTAATTTTTTTACTAGAAATTTTAAAAAATTAAATAAATAGAATATTAATAAAAATTGCATAATTTTATTTTAATAAGTAGTTGAGATTTTTTAAATTTTATGACTATTTTTAAACATAACAACAAATCATAAACAATTATAGTAAACAATTAATTATACTTAACAGATGTTTACAATCCACAAAAATTAAAAAATCATGTACAATAGAATTATGACTTTCAATTTCTATCATTTTTTTTTTTTTAAAACAAAGTAAAAGTATGTGATTAAATTGAGTACATACAAGAGCATAGATTGATCTTCAATCTAAGTACATAGAACATAAATTGATCTTGCTCAAGTATCAGGATACATGTAAAGATGAGACCAGTAAGATTTTTCTTTCTGTAAACAGAGCAAAGAATTTTTTCTTTCTGTAAAAAATAATAATAATAAAAAAACTGAGCATAGATTTTTCTTTCTATAAACAAAAAACCGAGCAAAAAAAGCACTGTAAGAATTTCTTTCCATCTACCATAGATCCAAGGTACATAAATAAATAAATAAAACTGAGCACTAAACTAAGACCCAATGGCCACAGAACGTCGAAGTGAATATATTAAAAAAAAAAATGAATTAAAAATAAAATGAAAAAGAAAAAGTTAGAACAAGCAAAAATAATCTCTCGTGTCAAAATTAAAAAATAATCCCTCATATCAAAATGAAAAAATAATCAAAGGAAAAGATAAACAATATCATACAAAAAAAAAAAAAAAAATCTAATAAAGGGTCAAAAATATAATTTCATTATCTAATCTCATGGAATGAGTTATCCCATGATTTGTGTCTCACACCCCCCCCCCTCCACGGATACAACAATCTTGAATTAATAGTTCAAAAATTTTGAACCAAACAACAGACTGTTAGTCCAGATAGACTATTAGTCCTATCCCATGACTCAATCTCTCCAAACAAATACCACCTTACTGTGGAAGAACTGGTGAATCAGGGATTTGGAGTTGATTATCATGATAAGGACAATTTCCAGCACCGCGTCGCGTGCAATGCCTCCGGAGGGGAATGTGGGACTAACACTATTACAAATCAAGCAATTTGCTTTTGCCACGAAGGACATCAATCGCAAATGTGCCCAGGGCCAGGTGTGTATCTCCTTTTCTTTCCCCAACTTTTGCATATTCTTAGGCATTGTTTGGATTTAGTAGTGATTTAAAAAGAAGAAAACAAAATAAAAAAGAAAAAGTGGGTGGATTATGAATGAAATTTCATTTTTATTTCTAAATTTTTATCTGAAAATCAATAATCTCATAATTTTTTTTTGTTTTTTTGTTTGTCTTAATAAGTAAATTAATTTAAGTTTAATTTATTTTTTTTCAAATTCTCAAACTTGGCTTGTTTATGTAATTGGGTGTTGGAACATTTTCATAATATATTTATATATATTTAAATATATAATATAGTTCTATGAATGATTAAAGAGATGTGACTTTTGGATTTAAACTAAATGAGGTAACCATTGGATTTAAATCAAAAAATATGACTCTTGGATTTAAAGGGTGTCACTTTTGAATCTAAAGGACGTGACCTTTAGTTTAAGGGACAAACTCATGCCCATATAAAGGAGGAATAGGTTAACAATATATTTTTTCATGGAATTTCTTTAAATGATACATATTGTTATTTTCCTCTTTAATTGGTGGATTAGAAAAATCCGAAGGTATTCAGGATCTGATTTCGTTCATGCATAACAATCAGATATTAGTCTTTAGATTGGGCTTTATTGTATCCTGGAGGCGGATTCGCGAGTAACTCGATGCACACCATATTCGACAGATTTGGTAGGGGCGAATATCGTCTTAAGGAAAGCAACATTGTAACGTGCCTTGAAGCAATTCTAATTATTTTCTTTTTTATCTCTTTCCATCTTGTTTACCAAATTTGCACCAACAATCTTAAGACGATATTCCAAAGAGATGGAAGCACATTAATGTGTATTTGGAATTTTGTACAAGTAAGGCTGAATTCAATTTTATTTATGGTATAAAGCGGATTAAGAAATGAGGTATGCATTTTCTATATATGTGCAATTTTATATGATAATGATAATGAAAATCAAATTGCCAGGTATGAGTTATTTTCTATTTTGTTTTTGAAATTAGTATTATATGAATAATTGCATACCTATATCTGTTGTTTCTTGGTAAGAAAGTGTGTGTCTATAATTGACACATAATCTTCAAGGAAAAAGTATACTATTCAAATGCCATGAAAGAAACTGTTATGAATAAGTTATGCATTTTTAATTATAATTGTTATTTTAAATTTTGCTCTCGTCTATTGGATGATAGATATAATTTTTGTTAGTATGTGTTTACAATCAATGAGGTCTAATACAAAAAATAAGATCTTTGTGACTTTTTGAGTTCGGTGACCAAAACTTGGGTCAACTATAATTTCTGCCGCATTTTGCATGTTATTTGTGAAACACATGATTTTATTATTTTATTTACATATTATAAATTTCCATGAAACTTTTAAGTTTTGTAGGATATTGTTAATATGATTTGTTTTAAAATTTTAGTAAACTGTTTATATAGTTAGTCTATATGTTTGTGTATATATCTGAAAGTTGATATGTATGATCTTTTCATAAAATGACTCTGAAATTGGAAAAGGAAATTTGAGAAAATTTTCTTATTTTAAAAATTTGAATCTCATTATTATATGACTCCCATGAATATTGATTCGCTATTGAGAATTTATTTTTTTATCAATATGTGAACTGAAATCTCTAATTTCAGTTTTCATTATTAGTAATTTCAATCAACAATCTGCTATGTATGGTCACATCTGGTTGCCTATACCGTCAAAGACCAATGTGTTGTTCGGCAGTAATGTTAACCTGATTGTAGTTTAATGGGTTGGTTCCACTGTCATGTTTATTTCAATTAAAATTCTTGTTTTGGATTTAAGAAAAGATCCACAAAAATTAGTATGTTTCTGAAAGTTTTTGAAAATCCTAAGTAATTCGTGATTAGATCAAGATTAAAGTATTTTAATTCCCAATCATTCAAAACACACAATCCAAATCATCAAGCACTTACGAAAGTGATTTAGATTATTGTTTTCGAAATAAACAACAAATCGACACAAACGATTTTTACATGGAAAAAACCACAATTGAAGAACCTTCAAGGCCATGTTTGTTTGGGCGGACTGGATTAGTATTCTCATGACTAATAGTCCTAGGACTACCAATCCGTTAGATTATCTATCCTATCTTAACTAATAGTCAAGTTTAAAATAATTAATCTGTACTTCAATTGTTTAACCAAATATCGGATTAATAATTTTATTGGACTATTAGTCCAATCCCAAGCTCATGTCCACCCAAACAAACATGGAGCAATTGTAATAAAAAACCACGGGCGAACCGCCACTAATCAATCTACTACTGAAGAAAGAAAGATTACAAAGATAACAAACAAATTACCAACTCATCCAATTTGTCTTTAAACCCTCTGTAACTTTTTCACCAAGCCTTCATCTCGGGACTTATTAATCTGGAGTTGAATCCACAATTTCACTTGTCGAATCGACGACTACGTACAAAATCAAGCTCCTTTGAAACAAACTCCTTGATGTATGTATTTTTGATCATAGGTTACAAACCCTCTCAAGTATATCAAGGAAAACTCAACCAAAACCTCAGATGAAAACCTCAAACAAAACCTTAAGATCCTTAAACAAGATTTAGGAAAACTAAACCTAGAAATGACCCAACACGCAAATATATAGTATCTGAGATCACGAGGTCCGCTCGAGCGTGGGAATTCCCGCTCGAGCGGAGACTGCATATTCCATGATTCATACAGGGTTCATGCTCAAGCGAAAGTTTCCACGCTCGAGTGTAGAATCACAACATCTAGTAGTTTTGCAGGCGTATCAGAGATGCTGTGAGAGTGCAAACCCTGCTCGAGCGGGAAGACAAAAACCTGAAAAAAATAGGAAACTTACAAGTTTATTACAACCTTGGTTTGCCATGGAATTTGACAACAAAGGGTCCTAACAATCTCCCCCTTTGTCAAATCCCGGACAAAACCATTCTAAAACAATGTTCCTATCAAAATCACCAAAACAGAACTAACACCAATAACCATAATCAATCACAAACAACCATCCAAGAAAAATTGAAATCCATGCTTGTGGACAATCACCCTGAAATAAACACAAACACACAAGCCAACCAAAATAATGGAACTGTATTAACACAATATAAATCGAACTATACCAAAATATATATATATATATATATATCCAACATATCCAACTATACAAAACAGCTGTACCAATATACCAAATAGCTATCCAACTGTACCAAGGAAGGATATAAACAAAAGTAAAACTACTGTATCATCAATGTAAACCAAAACAACTGTACCAACAGTAAACAACTGTACCACTCCCCTTTTTTGTCCGGGAGGGATCAAAAATAAGAGAAACAGAATAGAACAGCAAAGATCATGGAGCGGGTGGCTGGGACTGCATCTGAAGCAAAGACAGGATCTAAGCCAGCTGAGTAGAAGACTGGGCCACGGACTCCTCAATGCGCTGGGAAGAAACCTCCAAGGCACGGAACCGAGCATCAGCAGTGGTCTCAAGATCCGTGAGTCATGCCTCAAAGATATCCATCTGCCCCTCGAGGTGATCAAACCGGGAGGTAACAGATCGCTCAAAAGACTAAATCTGGCCACGAACCGGAGGAGGCTGCTCCCCCTCACCAATATCTCCGCCAGCAGCAGCAGCTTCATACTCAGCCTCTTTTGCCATGGTTGCAGCATCACTAGTACCTGAACCAGATCTACCTGAACCAGAAGAAACCCCTCGAATGTGAGACTGACTCTGGGAGACAGTCTTTTTGGTAAAAGGCCGGGAAGGGGAAGCAAACTCATCCTCATCGAAAGTAGGGACCTCAAACTTGGCGAGAAGCCGGTTTGTGAGGCACCCATAGGGTAAACCAAGATTGTTGCGCTCAAAAGCAGCAACCATCTTTTGAATGATCAATGTGGCAAGACCTATGGAACGATTTTGAGCGAGGCACTAAAGGACAAATCCTTGGTCCTGGTTAATTTCGGAGCTATGGATGGTAATAATGACATTGGCACACACAATAAGGTTGAGCAACCTAAACTGTGGGAGAAGCTCATTCTGTTTGATCAAGGAACCGGAAGGCCAAGAACGAGGAAAACCACACAAGGCATGGGCTACCTCGTCGAAGTCACAAGTAGGGCACACTAGAAAAGGATAGAAGATGGGAAATCTTTCACTAATCCCTAACGGCTCTCGAATAAGGTCGGTGGTAACAGTAATGGATTTAGACCTAACCCAAGTCTTGAACGATGGGAAATCTTTCACTAATCCCTAACAGCTCTCGAATAAGGTTGGTGTCAAGACTATTCATGTTATAATAGAATTCTCGCACCCAAGATAGGTTTTGAGAACCAGAAAAGAGAAGAACATTATCCCTACCCAAAGGATCAAATAGTGAACGGATAGGGATAGACTCGAATGTGGAGGGTTGAACATTACGTTCAAGATGAATGGAGAGGGCTGGATAAGACTCGTGGTACAACTAGGCTTTTTCAGCCGAGGGAAAGCGGTTAGTGCTATAGGTAGGGCGAGGGGCAGTAGACTTGCGTCTTTTGAAGGTGGACATGACTAAACCACGACAAAGAGACAAAACAGAAACAACACAGACAACCCCCAACCCAAGACCAAAAATAAACCAATAAAGACAACACAAAACATTAGTATCACAGTTTTATATAGCAACACGAGGCAAGGAAATAAGACTATGATGCAACAATGTAGTAAAATAGGAATCATAGTAAACAAGGCAGCATCAAAATCATGAAGAACCTTAGCATAAGATAAATGTAATGACAACCAGGGCTAAGGGAACATCAATCAAGCACACACTAAGCCAACATGATTAAAGTCTCAAGTAGCAATGCAAGAAAAAAAAAATCACAAAACCATAGAGCAATATATGGAACAAAAAAAGAAAAAATCCCCTATGGAAACCAGAAAAAAAAAACGAGAAAAATGCCCAAATCACTAACCCTAGATGGAAGAGAGAGAAACTAAACCATTGTGAAACAAGCAAAATCAACAACGAATTACCCTCAACATGATGAAGAAAAAACAAAATAGACCCATCTACACACTGTAAAACAAACTACTGACCCAAAAAAAAACAAATGCAACTACGAAAATAAGGAAGAAAACAGAGTGGAATCAAAAAATGGGTATACCTGAGGTGGAAGAGAAGAACAGATCACAACAATGCTCAGACCAAGGCAGACATAGCAGCGAATCGCCAAAACCCTAGAAGAGAAAGAGATGTGGGGCAAAATGAACTGAAGAGATGGGAGGGAAGAATTTAATCAAAATCAGTCCGCTCGAGCGTGGGTTTTAACGCTCGAGCATGAGACAAAACACGCAGAGACCCGCTTGAGCGCGAAAAAGGACGTTCGAGCGCAAATTCACCCCTCGTAGAACTGTAAAGCTAAGTGCAAAATGCTGCAAGGCTCAAAACCACGCTCGAGCATGGGAATGTCCGCTCAAGCGGGGACAAAACAACTATTTTTTTTTTCTTTTTAAAAAAAAAAAAAACAAAAAAACAACTAAGATGACCTGTAACTCGTGGGGAGTCCAAGTGGACGACTGTACCACTAGGATAAAAGAGTCCATCAATCATGAGTCCTGAAAACTTGTAAAAAAAATTTGAAGCACCAGGTCATGAACAAAACAGATAGAATTTAATCAAAGCCATAAGCAACATAAGAATGCATAACTCAAAAACACACATGAGAGCTCACAAATAGAATGTGTGTGTGTGCAATCCTTGAGAGCCACAAAGCTAGAGTTAATCCTCGTAGTGATCGGATGGCTGGACCTCCGACAAGAGTAACGGACCATCACAGAGAAAAGTCAAACCACTAGGAATCACGGGGTATTTGTTGAGTAAACGCGGAGGCTCCCCCTCAATCAATGATTCCCTCTTTTTTAATGTTTTTGAACTTTTACTTTCTTGTGGGCACTCACTGGTGGCATGCACACTCAAGAGTATGGAGACCAAACCAGAGAAGAATGAAATCAAAAAGGATGGCCTGGTTGGTGCCTCTGAGGTAGCCTTTTCCTAATGCCCAGATTTCAATGAACTGAAGTGAAAAAAATATGGTAGATGGTTAAGAGACTCAACATCACCCATGATATACTAGTATAGGTCAATTCCTCTAAAAAAGTACAAACACACTGTTAGTGGTCCATAGAGGACTTTGATCACTTGTGCGGAAACCCCTGCAACAGTTTATCTCAAAGATGTATACAGAATGAGATCATGAAGAAAATGAGTATGGGCATTCACAATGAGCTATGAACAACGAAGATTGAAATCTTGTAAGAAACATGAGTCGTGTTCATATAAATTTTTGATGCAAAGATATTAGGACTCAATGACAATGTGATTATCACATCCAAGTACAATAAGCCAACCACTCACACTCACTTTAAAAAATTGGAAACAGCCTAGTTACCGAGCACTACACCCAAGGTCTTTCTAAGAAACTCAAATTGAAGAAGATCAAGGGTTTTTGTAAAAATATCAGCTTTTTGATGCTCAGTGGGTACATGTTCCAGAACAACAAGGCCTTCTTCCAATAACTCTCAAATAAAATGATGACGGATGTCAATGTGTTTGGTGCGAGAGTGTTGGACAAGATTTTTTGAAATGTTTATGGCACTTGTGTTATCACAGAAAAGAGTGAGAGTGTTCTGTTATATCCCATAATCATGAAGCATTTGCTTCATCCACAACATTTGTGCACAACAACTTCCTGCAGCAATGTACTCAGC